CTATGCTTTAAAGTCTGAGGATTACATGCGTGTTTCTACTTGCTCTACTGGAAAAAAGATTTGGGACAGGTTGTGCATTACTTATGAAGGAACCAATGAAGTGAAACAATCTTGTTTGAATATTCTCTTGCATTATTACGAACTCTTTCGTATGAAATCTTCTGAATCGATTTCTGAAATGTATACAAGGTTTACTCAAATTGTAACTTCTTTGCATGTCTTAGGAAGAGAACTTTCAAATTATGAAAAAATAAATAAGATTTTAATATGCTTGCCTTCGTCTTTTGATGCTAAAATCACTGCAATCACTGAATCTAAGAATTTAAACACATATTCGATTGATAACTTACTTGGATTACTCATTGCTTACGAGCAAGGGGTGAATCAAAGAAATCTTGATACAGGTGAGAAAAGAAAGGAGAAAACAGTGGCACTGAAGGCCAACAAATCGAATTCTAACTCTTCTGGGTCTGAAAGCGATGACTTTGCCTTAATCACAAGGCAATTCGAAAGCTTTATAAGGAAGAAGCAAAAGCATCATCAAAATTGGAGAAAAGGTAAGGATAATAAATATTTTAAAGGATCTTCTAATTTGGTTTGTTATGAATGTAGGAAGCCCGGACACGAGAAAGCTGATTGCCCTACACTTAAGACGCAAACAAGCAAGGAAAAGAGTGAGGAGAAATCAAAGTTTAGAAAGGACAAAAGGAGACTTCAAAAGGCATTTTTGGCGGATTCTGCATCTGATTCATCGGAGACTGAACCAGAAGATGAAACAACAAACTTGTGCTTAATGGCAGATGATCATCTTGATCAAGAAGAGGTATGTGAACTTTTCTACGATCAACTCCTTTAAGTTTCTAAAAAAAAATCATGCATCATATAGGAAACTTAAAAAAATACATGCTAGCTTGAAATTGGAATTTTTGAATTTACAAAACGAGCATGGAATTTTGACTAAAGATCACTCAACAATTGATTCAAATCATATAGATCTATTTGATGAATTTGATGAGTTAAATAAAAAGTATTGTGAATTAATTGAAGAGCATGATTCACTAAAAACTTCACACACCTCAGTTGAATCTGATTTTAAGAAATCTAACAAAATGGAGAAAATTTTGAGGGTTGAGATTGATATATTAAAACGTACAAACTTGAGGATTAAAGATGAACTGGATTCACTTAAGAAAAATCAGATGACACCAACACTTGATCAAAATCCAAAACCTAGGAAGAGGCATTATAACTCAAACCATTTAAGAAATCCTTTTTTCAGGTGTTAGAAGATTTTCATGTGGCATGCTAGGACATATCTCACACACTTGCACTGTTCACTACAGTACACATTGGGTGTGGAGAACCAAGGTGCATGATTCATAGCATACCACACATGCATTGTATTCTACTTTTCATAAGAAGGGACCCAAACCTATTTGGGTTCCTATATATGACATTTGATAATTTTGTAGGTGGACTCTCACAAAAGGCCTCGTGAGAGTATGTGGTACCTGGACAGCGGATGCTCTCGACATATGACTGGTGATACCAATCAATTTATTTTGCTGGAGTCCAGGACTGGAGGCAAGGTTACTCTTGAAGACAGCACCATCAGGAAGGTGGTAGGCTCAGGTATAATTGGTAATTTCAAGAACCTTATGATTGAAAATATTTTACTTGTAGATGGATTAAAACACAACCTGCTCAGCATTAGTCAACTCTATGACAAGGGCTTCATCGTATAATTCTTTACAAATTTCTGCATTATAAGCTTAAGTAACAACACTATTTTGCAGGGAAAGATGATCAACAACGTGTACATGCTTGATTTAAATAACATAGAATGCGCTGCATCATTTTGCTTAAAAATTGTTGTTGATGATTTATGGTTATGGCACCGGAGATTATGTCATGCAAGTATGAAAACCCTTAGGAAAGTAACCCAAAAAGACCTAGTTAGAGGTGTCCCCAAACTCAAGTTTTCAAAAGACCACCTTTGTGATGCCTGCCAACTAGGAAAGCAAGTCCACTCCACTTTTCACCCCATTAAGGACATTAGCACCTTTTGAAGTCCTTTACATGGATTTGTTGGACCCATAGCACTACTAGCTTGGGAGGAAAAGTCTATGGTTTTGTGATTGTTGATGACTACTCGATGTTCACTTGGACTAGATTTCTTTCACATAAAAATGAGTCTTTTGAGGAGTTTAAAACATTTTCTACTTGGATTCAGAAAAAGCTAGGTTGTGAGATCTTGGCAATCCATATTCACCATGGGGGAGAGCTTTAGAATGAATGGTTTGGAGATTTTTGTGAGGACAAGGGGATTAGCCACAATTTCTCAGCTCCTAGGACCCCTCAGCAGAACGGGGTAGCTGAAAGGAAGAACCAGACCTTGGTGGATGTCGCTAGAGCCATGCTTGCTGAGAATTCACTTCCAAAATACTTTTGGGCTGAAAGTAATAAAGCATGTAAACAATAAAGTAATACAATATAAAAGCCAATATAATAGTTTTATGGAGAAATTAGTAAATCGGTATGCGTGTCTAATTAATAAAGTTGATGTTGTATTAGTACATATTAATCAGTAAAAAAATTATATAAAATAATATAATCGAAGTATTAGTAAGAACTATCAGAATCATATCAATACAATAAAATCATATAAATGTGCTCATTATCATTGCAACGAATCAATAGTATTAAATAGTATCAGTGTCCATATTAGTAACAATAATAGTTTAGTGTCACCGGTAAAACTAGTGGAAGTAACAGTAAATCCGTACAATAATAGTAAATCAATATAACAATTATTGCACGTTAAAAAAATGAATCAATAACATACATTTCAGTAATCAGACTAAACAGGTAAGAAGTTCTGATTTAGACTTTTTTTTAGTAGTAAGTTAGTTGTTATTAACCATTGTCTTAATAAATAAAATTGTCATTCTTTGCCCGTTAGTACAGTAATAACTCCTTATAACTCTGAATCAGTATATCATATGAATTAATAGAGGGTAACACCCAACCATAATATTTAAAAGAAAGCCTATTGACCCAATATCCTATACATGTTAGTCAATCTCTGGCCAAAGTTAGTGAAACCAGCTTTTATTTATCTTCGTATATATTATTATCACATTATTATAATAGTAAATAGTGACCAACTATTACTCAATCATACATCCATTTTTAACTTCAATACATATATTAATAGTATGCTTAAATAAAATATATAGTTAGTTATTCAGTATAAATCATACAAAATTTAATAAATTTAATTTTACTAACTAAATTAAATAATATTATAGCAAAAATACTCATTGACTACATTTATCACATACAAAAAATAATACGATAAAAATTTTCTAAAAATTAAGATATTATAATTTTTTCAAGTTTTAATCAAATTAAAATGCATAAAATATAAAAATACATAAATTCTTGAAATCATAACTACGATAATGATTCTTTACAATGAGACGAGCAAATATCTCAATATGACTAACTAGCAAAAATTACTCCATCACATCTAATTCTTAACTTTTCTTTTATCTCTCCTCACTTTTTTCTCTTTATTTCTCTTACAGGGCCATGTTAAGATGAATTTGAATGAAATGGATTTTTAGATAAGTTATATATGGATTAGGATATTTAGGAATAAAATAATATAATATATAAATGTAATGATGCAATTATTTAATTTTAGCAAAGGATCAATATAAATTTTTTATATTTTCAAATATGGAGCTTAACAAATTATAGAAAGATATTCATAAAATAACCCATATTTTTTAGAAAATTTTGGTGAAATCAGTTTACAAAATGGACTCCTAATAGTCCCAAAACTCCCCACTTGTACCGACATATGTCAATTTCTTATGGATTTATACCAATGCCAAAAAATTAGAAAAAAAAGTAGTGTAATTAAAAAAAATACAATATCTATGTTTTGGTGAAGACGGTTAATGATTTGGATTTATAATGAGTCATGAAAAAATTTATTTTATTGAGTCAAAATATGGGTTATTACATTCTGTGCCATAAAGCATTGCAGGTCTCCCTACCATCTTATAAAATGTTCCCTTGAGTTTGAGGGGTACTATTCTATCACACAATATTCCTATGTATTCCTCCACTTCAACCATCTCAACTTGAAGTTCACTAATAATTTCCCACTATTTTACCATCACTTTGAACAATATACCAGAGATATCTAAAATGTGTAATCATTTTACTGACTTGATCGCCTTAAATTAAAATCCCCCCATAAGTCCTATTCCTACTAAAATTACACTCCATGTATTCAACTTTAGATCTACTCAAACAAAAACCTTTAGACTCGAAGGTTGACTTTCATAATTCAATTTCTCTTTCAACTCTCTTTAGTCTTATCAACAAGAAGAATATCATCTGCAAAAAATATACACCATGGTACATTCTCAAGCAAATGTCTACAGAGTTTACTAATCTTTAAAATTTTAATGAATGATTGTCTTCATTTAGGCTCCGTTTGGGACGATTTTCTTTCTATTTTTTAAAGCAATTTTTTAGTATAAAAAATAATTTTTTTTACTAAAAAGCTGCTTTAAGAAGCAGAAAGAAAGTCGTCCCAAACGAAACCTTAACCTCTTCATCCTATTTAGCAAAACAAAAACGTACAATTACGAACATGCAGTTCTTAACTTCTATGATGATAAAAATCATTTTTTAGACAAGCAATTTCGAAGTTACTAGCAAGCATTCATGTCACACATTATTCAAATTAAAGCTGCATTAGGAGTTTATTCAAATAGTTTTATTATTTTCAAACAAACTATAAATTTATATTTAGTTATATAAATAAATATATAAATAATATTAACTATTAAATATATAAATTCAAGAAATTTCGTAATATTATGTAAGTACGTACCCTAAATTATTTCCATTGAATTTATACATGCCAACCTGCTTCCGACTTTTCCAGGCACCTGGCCGGCGGCTGGCCCTGAAGCCCAATGCAGTGGAACGCCCCGGACGTTCCCGACCCGGCCCGCGTTCACGCCCAGCTAATCAAATCCAGCAGCACCGGCGGCGCCCCCACCGCCGCAGAAGCTAGGTTCTATTACAACCAACTCATCGCCCTCTACTCTCGTTCGCCTTCCACCATTCCCGATGCCCTCCGTCTCTTCCACCACCTTCCAGTCTCGCCCAACGCCGCATCCTGGACTTCCGCCATCTCAGCCCTCTCCTCCGCCATCCGCGCGGCCGCCGAGTCCGCCGCCCTCGACCAAACCCGCCTCATCCACGCCCACACCGTCGTCAACGGCCTCAATCCCAACTCTATCGTCGGAACCGCTTTACTCGACGCATACGGCAAGGCCGGACTCGTTCCCGACGCGCGCCAAGCGTTCGACGAATTGTCCTGCGCTGGAAAAGCCAACCTCGTGTCATGGAACGCCTTGCTTTCAGCCTACGCCCAGCAAGGCGATGCCACGTCCGCCAAGCAACTGTTCGACGAAATGCTCCAACGAAATCTCGCTCCCGACGAATACACTTTCCTCGCCATCCTCACCGCTTACAGCAACTCCGGTTTGATGGACGAAACACAGAATTGGTTGAACGAGATGCGTACGCTTTATAGCGTGGAACCAGGGATTGAGCATTACTCGTGCTTGCTGGGAGCAATGTCGCGAGCTGGGCGGCTCGACGAGGCTGAGCGCTTCGTGTTGGAAATGCCGTTCGAGCCCGACGCCGCTGTGTGGCGGACGCTCCTCTCAGCCTGCATGGTTCACAGAAACGCCGACATCGGTCGGAGAGCGGCGGGGCGCCTACTGGAGTTAGACCCGCAAGACGACTCAGCCTACGTTATGCTAGCCAAAATCTATTCTTTCGTCGGGAGAAAGGGGGAAATGGCAAAGATGTGGACGACGATGAGGGATCACGGGGTGCGGAAGGAGGGAGGGAGGAGCTGGATTGAGGTAGCCGGCGGGGTGCACGTTTTCATCGCCGGCGATCGGCAGCACGAGAGGTCGTCGGAGATATATGCAAAAGTTCGGGAATTGGAGATGGAAACGGGGAAATTGGGGTATGTGGAGAAGGGAGGGGAGGGGGTATGGGAGCACAGCGAGAGGTTGGCGGTGGCAATGGGGCTGATTAGCAATGGCGGAGGCACGGCAGCGGACGGACAGCCCGCGTTGAGAGTGATAAAGAATTTGAGAATTTGCGGGGATTGCCATGAGTTCTTCAAGTACGTGAGTAGGATAATTGGGAGAGATATTGTGGTTAGGGACGTCAACAGGTATCATAGGTTTGAGGAAGGGGCTTGTAGCTGCAAGGATTGTTGGTGAAACTTTCGGAAATTCCACTCCATTTGGTGGTTTATGATAGGCATGGGTTTGTTTTTTTTTTTTTTACATGGGTTTTTTTTTTTTTTGAATATATTTAGGCTGATTAGGGCAAACTCAGATTCATCATGCACGTAAGCAACGAATTTGAAATCTCTTGATTGATAGTCAAAACTCTCAACTAACAGATCAATGTTAGCTATATGCATGGGTTAATTGTAATTTTCAAATTTTTTTTTTTTTTGAAATTTGGTGATTGTTGTAGTTCCACCTAAAAATTATTTGGCAAGCAATTTAAGGAAAAAAGGGTTATTTGAATAAAATTATATGTGGTTTGATTACTTTAGTCTTTTGATTTAAATGACAATTTTTTTTTAAAAAGGTAAGTAGGAATATTGATTTATCCTATTTTACAAACAAGAGTAAAATAAAAAAGACCTTTTGTAGAGTACTCTAAGTTTATTGTTTTGATATAGCTCATCTTGATATGCTGGTTGAAAATTTAGGCTATCAATTAAGAAGTCTTAGGTTCGAATCTTTGTATATGTAATGTGTGTGTGAAAGTTTGATTAATTGGCCTAAATGTTAAAAAAAAAAAAAATTCTGAAAACTATTACCATTTTTTTTAGCATAAAATTTAGTATAATGTCATTCTAGAATTTATATTCATCATAAATAGACATTATAAACCATAGACCAAGCATGTATGGCCGAATTATGTCAAGAGTTTTTTCAAGAGTTAAAAATTTTAATGTATTTTATTTTCATAAGTGTGAGATATGTTATAGAAAATACATTTGAATAACTTTTTTTGTTGTAATTTTAAAACGAGTTTGATTGTATTCACTGAAAGGATAATCTTGTTGGCTTCCTCCTATGAGGCTACTTTAATGAGCATACATGAGCCATAATGTGATAAGTTTGCTTTGATGATAACAATATATAACTGCTGACAGTAATATTTTAGTAAAGTGATAACCAAGTTACTATAATGCAAGGATCATAATGATAAAAGTACTTACTTTAAGAACGTTAGTGATGATTTTTTATCACTTAAAAATAGCTTTTCAGTACAAATTTTTTATTGAAAACAGTAAAAAAATATTGACAAAAAATTATCTCAAATACAACCTCAATGAACAAAGAAGAAGATAAAGAGATAGAACTAAGGCTTCGTTAGGGACGGCTTTTTTACTGTTTCTCAAAACAGTATTTTTGTATAAAATTTTTAATTTTTATATTAAAAATTTACTTTAAGAAGCAATACAAAAATCATCCCAAATGAATCCTAAGTCTAAGCAAAAAGTAGGACAAGTATCTCTCTCTAAGATATAACGAACACAATAAAAAACATACAGGAGAAATAAGCAATCTAATCCTACCAGATCAACTCGAGCAACATGAAGTAATGAACACGTATATTTTTCTTTCTCCATTTTCACTTCTCATCTGAATAGGACTAAAATCAGGAAAAAAAAATTGTTATACAACCTGCTATGTCACATCATGAGATTAGAATACAAGATCTACAAATAGCTAACTTTTATACAAAATTACAGCTACATGTTCGAAATAGATTCACCTCATCTCAAAAAAGAAAGGGCTTCCATTTGGTTGCAAAATGATAGGGGACATTTGTTTTAAATTTCTGGCAAAGAGTCAAAAATGGAAGAAACAGCTTCGGCTGGCATTGATCCGATGGCTTCAGAAATTCTTAGAGCCATGAATGATTTATATGTTGCTAGATCAGCATTCTCCATCAGCAACTGCGCCCTGCGGCGCAAAGGAACGGCAACTTCCATCAACTGCCGCCATGCATTTTCGGTTTCATGGACTTTGAGAAGTGCTTCTGCTTTGGCCTCCTCTTTTGCCTTGGCTGGACAAGAACGGATAAATCATAATTAAGTTAGAACTTTACCACTACAAAAATTTAAAATAAATTTTAAGAGATTTCTTGGGCATTAATCGATTAAGATGAAAATATTTTGTCATCCTACATGGCAAAAGGATAAAATTAGAACGAGATAGTGTAAGAGTGTCATCTCACTATTTTCGTGGAGTAAAGTAACCAGAGCATTCGAGTCATTATCCTACTACACTTTCGAGTAGGACCATATATATAAAACTTAGACTGGAATATATGTTATATTCCTTGAGGCGGGCCTCAACCAAGCTGAGAAATAAGCCTCATTAAAAAAATTTTCGCTGAAATTGCGCTAAGGCAAGCCTCAAGGCAAGTCTCATATTGCGCAATTTTAAACAATATAAATTAGAACTCATTTCCCCATTAAATTTACACTGGAAAAAAAAAATTGAGAAACAACAGTAAATGCCTCCACTTCAGCTTCATTCAAAAAAATAAAACGCCTCTAATCCCTTTCATTACAACAACATCAAGCTTTTATCCCACAACGTGAGGTCAACTACATGAATCCCTTTTTCTCTATTGTGTCTTGTTTAGAATCAAATTCTCATTTAAATTTAATAAAAATAATAATTTTTTAATATTTTCTAACTACATTTTTTAGTTCTACCTCTAACTTTCATTAATGCAAACAAAATACCTAGCAAATAAAAAAAAAAGTGTGATAAAGAAGATAGCACATTCATTTATTGGTTGAATTGTATCGCTACACCAATACATGTAAAACACATAATAGAACTCGGTAGCAATCAAGGAGCTCCAAAAAAAGGGTGTTTTCATACCCTGTGTAACAATAAGCTAGCAACAGTTCAAATACATATTGCTTAAATAAGAATTAAAAAGAAATGAGGATGCTCAGGTGGATGAGAGGCTTTACCCTTATTAGAGATAGGATACGAAATGAGCATATACGTGAAAAAGTTGAGGTAGCTCCAGTAGAAGATAATATTAGAGAGAGTCGCCTTAGATGGTTTGGTCACATAAAACTTCGGCCTTCCGATGACCCGGTTAGGAAAGTAGATGTATTAGATTTGACTTATGTTAAGAAATGTAGAGGCAGACCTAAAAAGACTTGGTTAGAAAATATTAGAAATGATATTTCTTTATTAGATTTAAACGAGAATTTAACTTTTAATAAGACACAATAGAGAAAAAGAATTCCTGTAGCCGACCCCACGTAGTGGTATAAAGGCTTGATATTATTGTTGCTGTTGTTGTTGTAAGCATTAAAAAGAAAGTTAGGTAATCATGACAGATTTAAAGCAGATATAAAAATCAAAATGATTATGGCTTTCAGGTAAATAGAACTTTTCCAGAACAACACTATCCCACCATACCATACATGGTTCTACTAAATGATAAAACTTCAAATGTATAATTTAACAGAGGATCATTTTCAAACATAAACTAAATAAAATCATTACACACCTTACCTAGCACGGCTTGTTAAGGTTCAACAAGATTTGGTTAAAGTTCAATTAGATTTGATTCGGTTAATCCACTTAGGAGCAAGTTCAACGGGGAATCACAAATTAGTAAGAATATGATAATTGCTGAAATGACAATACGCAAGTTTAGAAGAGGGGTTAGTTAAACAATAAATAAACAATTTATGGCAATATAAACTAGCATTAAACATTTAAAAAAAGTTAAGAAATACATACAATCAAACCCCCAGGCAGGTTTTCCTCTCCCGACATGGCTTCGCATTCTCTTGAAAGATCTCCTCTTTCGAAGAACTTGTCTTTGCATCAATTGTGGTTTCCTCAGAGATAAACCCTGCTTATTAGAAAGTCTAAGTTATATTTTGGTTGACAAACTGCCAAAATAGAAGCATTAGGTCATAAAAAGCAGTTCAAATGAAGTAAACACGGACTTTCACTAAAACCAGTTTAACTGAAACAAAAGATATTTTCACGCACAAATGTTTTCAAAGCTTTTAATGGAACAAGATATGAGTACAAAACTACTGTAACCGCACATCCAAAGGCGCATGAACAAACCTATGATGCATCGACACTTCTCCTCAAAGAGGCGTGCATTGTCCGGCATGTATCAGACACGCCTCTGACACGTGTCGGACATGCCGAAAACGTATCTAATTAAAAAATATTAAATGCAAATTAAACACGCATGTCTTAATTATTTTTTGAATTTTTTTAAAATATAATTTCTTGTAATTCAAATTTTTACTTATTTAAAATATAAAAACTAAATTTCTTATTTCATATCCATAACACAAAATCAATCATCCGCACTCAATTCCCCATTCAACAAATACTCTCATTTTCATTTCTCTTTGAAGGGTCGTGACTTTGGTTCACAACAATGCATGATATCATCTCAACATTGACATTTCACATCATTACAACATCAACATTTCAAATCATCTCAATATCAAAGTCTAACACTATCTTGACATTGATGCTTGTCGCTAGCAATTTCTAGACCCACAACTTAACAGCTCTATCTTTATCCAATGTCTTCTTAACATCGATGACCAATGCCCTCTCAACATTGACGACAAACACTCTATTGACATTGACATCAGATACTTACTGCATAACATTAATGCCCGAGTCTCAACAACATTGTTGTCTCAACTCTCGATGCCTGATACACGACATTGACGTTCGACTCTCAACATCATAATATTATTCATTTTAAGCACAAATTCTACTTAAATGACTTGTTATTTCAAAATTATTTTTAATACTATACTTGTTCAATTTTTAAATATTGTTTTTAAAATATAAAAATTATAATATCGTGTTCAACCAATGTCCATGCCCTATATTTTTAATAATTGATGTGTCTCGTGTCCGTGTCATGTTGTATCTGTGTCGTCGTGTCCCTGTATGTGCATCATAACGACAAATAGAAGACACCTGAGAGGAATGCACAATACCATTGTAATTACTCATTCCTTCTTATAACTTATAGGAGATCTAGAACTACAAATAGCCAATTAGCAATAAGCTTTAGCGAATTTAACAGCGTAAAATCAAGTGCTGCACACCACCAACCAACTGGCAACGTAAACAACCAGTTTGGGAACTAGCTACAAAAATATCGTGCTTAAAGATGGGAGGCAGTTTTTTTGGAGAGTTATGAGAACTGAATACCCTTTTCAGAGATCACTGAGCACCATCATATTTGTTAATGGAAAATGGTGCCACAACACAAAGGCCTGCCAGCAGCTATAGAGCAGACGCATGGCACAGAATGTGATAGTAAAAAGATGCTAATCATTAAAATAATAACCAATATATTATTAACTCAACAATTTATAAAAAACAAGTCCTAAAAACAAAAAAAGGTCACATAACTATAGCATAAGTTTGTTCAGCATGTATGACGATTATATGTCATATGAGACAATTTTCAAATAAATCAAACCAACTTCTTTTACCTATAATCCAACAATAAACACAACAAATGAAATATAAACTACCTAAATTTGAAGGAAACATTTTTCCTTTGTGATACCAACCACCACATTTCAAACATATGACAACAAACAAAAACAACTGAACTAAAACTACAATTTTAAAGAAATTCAACATTGAAGGATCAATGAAAAAACAAGGTAAAATGGTTCTGGCTGGAGAAAAAAAAGTGCCATGTCTAAAGCAAATCATTATGGTAAGGTGGCTAGAGAGATTATTTCAAAAACTAAAGCAACAACTCAGAGGAAAGGATACTCTCCCACACATATTTTCTTTAAATTATTTTTCCTCAAGCAACTTAGAAAAACAACGAAAAGTAAAAGTAGCCTAATCAATAGAAAGTGCTCAAAGAAAAGGACGAGACACCATCAAACTTTAATAAGAAAAAAGCAACTTCGTTGAAGCTTAAAAAAAAAAAAAATTACCATTGCATCCCACATCACCAAAAGAATGGCAAGGAAAAATACCAATACATCATATGCGTGATGTGCCATGCAAACATAACCCATGCCATCCTGCATATTTGTGCTGCATCACTAATGGGGCCAAGGGTACACTGCATGATAACTTGAACCATAGTGGTTGGAATTTTTTTCTATTGAAAAGTATGCAGATCACAAGGGTGATAACAATCTAATTTTAGGCTTATCCAATACCAATGCAAAATCAGATCAAATATGAAAAAGCAAGCTCAAAGTCAGACCGTGACTCAAATAGGTTTGATTTTGATCCAGCTTAAACTCATATTTGCTCAATTTTGACTCATCTGAAAATCACTTATTTCTTTTTTTAGAATTGATTTCATGTATGTTTGTATGTACATGCTATTTATATGAATCAGCATAAAAATCAAACTGAGCTAAAACTTTGCCCTATGGATCAGCTTGTTTGGATTGATTTGAGCTCGATATGGGCAAAAATTGATACAATCTTTGAGTTAAAATCTAGCTAAACATGCAACCAATCCCTGTTCCAAAACATCTACGACATGCCAAGACTCAATGCTATCACTTCTTCACAGTTTATTTAGTTTTTTCCGCTAATTAATATCCCATATTGTGCTACACATTTCTAGCATTGTTATGATATGGAGCTTTAGTATCTACCATAACAGAATATAATTGAATGTCAATTAAGCTCCTTACATTTAGTAACACATAGATACTGTTCCACAACATATAATGCATGTGATATATTATTATAAAAACTGTGCTTCATATTGCATTATGCATGTCATTATTTGACTATAAAATAATGAAATTATGTTATAGCCACCTATTAGACATCTAGGACATTATGTTAGACCATAACATATCACATATGAATGACAATGTGAAAAGTTATAACCTATTTATTAAATATAAGTGTAGTAAAATTAGGTCTAACGTCATGAAAATAATGCTACAAGATAATAGGTGGTTATAACATAAATTGTAACAAAATAATAAAAACCATGTCTTGTCTTTTATGATTTTAAAACATGGTTACAACATAACAATCAAGGCAAAGCAAATAGGTGGAATGAGAAACCATATTTCTTTTATATTCGTCAAAACAAATCAATCAGTTATTCTACTTTTTAGCCTTGGACGAGAAAAAAAATAAAAAAACTACCAACAGCACCACACATAATCAACACAAAATTAAAAGGAACAATAGCCTGAGCAATAAGAATTAACATACATTCAGTCCCTAGATCTATTTAAACAGGGAAAAATTAGCGCCACTGCATGAAATAGTTTTTTTAAGAATCATCTATCCAAACAAGCATATGTTGCAAAAAAATCAGATGGAGAGAGTAAAGCATAAAATGATTACAGAGAATCATCATTAGCAGCAGCATCTATGAACGATAACAGTTTGATTAACCCATTCATCCCACGAATTACAGGAAATGGAGGGGTATGTGTGCTTTGATGCGTAAGCTAATTAAAATAAGAAAGCATGTATTGCTTTATCAATTTGGTTGCAAAAAAGACAATAATTTAGTCAAACACTACAACAAAATTATAATTTGTATGCAAGAAGCAATACAACAATGAGAAAATGTGTAGGGAGAAAAGTCCAATTAAAACACTTCTAACTTCCAGATAGAAGATGAACCTATTACACAATCAAGAACCTGAACATGGATGATGATACAGATCTGTAGAGCAAAAAGAGCATATTCATCATTCTTACCTGGAACACCCTGACCAATGGAGCACGTTTTTGTTTCCTCTTCTTTAACCAGTAATCATAGATATCAGCAACAGTATCTTTAGCCCCTAATTCCTCCTGATTATTTGGTTCTCTTTCAAAGGATATTATATCAGAAGAACTAAAATATTCATTCTTTTCAAATGTGAATATCATTCTTTCAAAGGCGTTTTCCAATAGATAAGATGAGGTACCGTTCTGTTTAATTGAGCAGCTAGAATTGTGTTGTTTCAACCACTCCTCATCGCCTGAATCCATATCATAATAGGGAACTTCACTCACAGTAGCTCGCAATATTTCATCATCATGTTTCATATGGATATACTGTTCAGGGCGCTCAAAACTTGATACGATGTCATCCTCATAAGCAGGAACATCCCTAAAAACTGGAATAGGTATAACCTTTACAGAAGGATCCTCTTTGGGATGGTTGTTGCGCTGACGACATTCTGCATGAAGCTCCTTAAAAGTTAGCCAGTCCCACTTTTCAGAGAACTCAAGCCTCCAGCCATCCTCACCAATCCACATATATGCATGATTAAAACGGTTAAGAGTATACTTTATATCCTGAGGCCTGTGAAGGTACCTTAAATTGCTTCCAATCTTCACTGCCAAGCACCATTCACCGGAACTAGACAATTCCAACAAAACTTCTGCTCCTTCTTCTCTCCAGCATCTATCACCAGCGGTAACCAAGATATTTGCATTGCATTGAACTGAATTGATGTTCTGCTTGATATCAGACAGAACTGCCTTTATTTCCTTCATCTGCTCACCATGGCTCTTTTTACCAACTTCCATGAGTTTCAAATGGGATCCAGATGAAGTAGAGATAACTTTATCATTATAAGAAATAAATGGCTGATCCAAAGTTTTAAGATGTTTCACATGAAGAGGATCCTCTAGAGATCGATCCCCATTCTCACTACAGCACAACCTGCTGTTGCAGTCCACAGAAGAAAAATTGTTAGATCTTGATTGTCTCAAGAAGCTCCTCCTCCTCTGAAGTTTCCTTAGCTTAGAACTACGCACTGTGCCTGTACTTTGTGCAAAAACTATACAAGATTTACCAGCACTGGGTGCGTTCCTATTTACAGCAGGACTTGCAGAAACAGAAATCGAAGTTCCTGAAAAAACTGAATCCACAGGAACATGAGAAACAGTATCATCGGACTGAATATCCTGAATTAATTTGTTCAATCCTGTCAGAAATGTTGAAAGAGCAAGAGGGAGATAATGAGAACCAAGAAGAGAGGCCAAATGCAAGCTCATAAAATAGGAAGGAAGGGCATTGAAATTTAGAGATATTAGGGGAAAAAATTCCCTTGTGTTGTAAATCTTGCAAGTCCCAAAATTATAAATTGAACTCCCAAGAAGAAATTTCTGAAAATAAAAAAGATACAACATTAGAAATGTAATAATAAGTGGTAGAACTAAAAGAAACAATTCACTGAGCATGAAGGAGATAAAAAAAACTTACGCTATTGCGATCCGCCAGTGGCAAGAAATGGATGCCATGCCGTGGAAAAGTACTGTTCATTGGTTGAGAGAGAAGAAATGAAGTGAAGTACTGTAGACTCATCCTTGCCCTCCTCATCCAGCTGATTACAGAAATAAGAAATCTCCGAAACCTGAGCAAAATGTCATCACGTGAAAATTCTAAAAGCACAACTAGCACTAGTGGATCACAAAAACTAGTCCAACGTTCACTTTCACTAATGTCGATGGTATCCAGGAAGTTCCTATTGAACTCTCTGATCTGCAGACGACCGTGTCTTACTCCTGCTCTGAATAAATCTTCAGTCTCTCCAAACTGATCACCCCTTAATTTACCAACACCATTCATCACTTCTGATTTCTTCTTCTTGGGATTCCTATAAAATACAACCCTGAATCTTGGATCATTATCTTCCACCCCGCAATTGGAAGAAGATGGGTCCAAACCAACCGGACCAATTGACGGAATCCTCTGACGTTTTCGGCTATAAACATTCTCAAACATCTTTCCTTTCCCCTGCAACTCCGGTCCAGCCATCTCATCCCCATCTGAGTCGAACACAACTCCCGCGCTTAATCCACTCTCCGCTTTATCACTCCTTTCCAACCATCGTATACCAGCCAATTCGCCAGAGTCGTAGTCTCCAGCCTTATCCAACGGCTCAGACAGATGCAGCTGCTTCCCTGATCGGAGGACTCTTGTGGAATAATTTCCTTTCACAGACTGCTTGTCCGTGATAGCCTTTCTAGGCACAAATACCCTAGTCGAGGATTTCCTTGCGACCGTCAGCATCTTCGCACCTGCCGGCATCGGCAAGGGGAAAACTCTCGACCCAATTTCTTCAACCGCTTCTGTTGAGGCCTCCCCCTTTCCTTCCTTACCGTGCTTCTTAACGATCCGTCGCCTCTCATATGTCATATGCTGCTTCATCGTTCAAAGGCTTCATCTCCACAGCATAGAACAGGAGGAAGCAAAAAAGACAAAGCAGTAAAGATACTACTGAATATTTCTACGAACTAACAAGAGGAAGGGGAAAGGGAAGAAGCATAAGAGTATCAAGCCCTGCGCTCTGGTTTAAGCTCGAAGATTCCGACCTTCATCGTTGGGGTAAAGCTCCCGGCGGGAAGGAGGAGGAGGCTACGGAGTTTGATCCAGGACGGGTAGAAAGATGAAACCATGGGGGTGGAAGAGGCCTTAAGAGGCGCTTCGATGAAGAAAGGAATGGAAGTTCGATGCGACGGATTTTGAGAAGATGGCGAATGCAGAGCAGGCCCCGGAAACGGAGAAGCGGCGGATGGTTTAAAAGAAGTGGAAAATTCGAGAGTAGGGTTTTGCATTTTCGATTTCGAAAAATTAATAAATATAAATATATTCTATTAAGAAAATAGGTTTGAAGCGGGTTGAAGATGATATTTTTTTCATAATTTTTAGGCACCAGTGAAATTTCTTAAGAAATTGACACCTAATGATACAAGTGGGAGTTTTTGGACAATTAGATTTTTGTTTTGCAAACCGATTTCACCATAAATTTTTAAATAAAATAAGTTATTTTATGAATTTTTTTATAATACTGGAAATCCCTAAAAGGATTTCTATAATTTTATATTTTAAAAAATGATTATAATATTATTATTTTATATTAAAAAAATCTAAAAGCATTATAACTGTTATAAATGCCATTTCATGCCTTTTGTCCATTCGGCTTAACAGAGGGATTTTTTAGGGAATTAGATGAAAGAGATGAGAGAGGAGGAAATTTGGATTTTCACATCTGTAGAGTGATTTTCGTCCATAGGCCCAATGGGGAAATTTTCTTATCTAGAAGCAGGTTACATTTTGCCTATTTCGGATTTCAATAATTTTATGTTTTTTTTTTTATATTTTTTCAATGAAATTTGTATTTTTGTTACCAAAAAAAGATGATAACTTTGTTTTGATAAAGCTTTCACTTAGTAACTTTTTATATATTATAGAGATTATGATTATGAATATTTTGAGTATATTCTGAAATTTTTTTGCAAGGTGATTTGAAAAAGCAGCGATTTTTGCCTACTCAAAAATTTATCTTGACATCTAAAAATAGTTCTTCAGTTCAATTAAAGCTTCAGAATGATGTTTTAGATAATTTGTTGTAATTTGGTTATATTTGGAAATTATTAATTTTTACTGAGCAGTATTTCTGTTATCTATTATTGGGACATTTTGACAATTTTTTAATTCAATCTAATTATATTTTAATTTATGCAATGCATTGAAAATATGTTGTGAGGTGTTGTGATGTGATGCCGGTGCCAGTGGATGACCGATGTGGGATTCTATTATGCTGACGCCAGTGAGCGACCGAGGTGGGATTCTGTTATGCCGGCGCCATTGGGCGACCGAGGTGAGATTCTATTATGCCGGCACTAGTGGACAACCAAGGTGGGATTCTGTTATGCAGGTGTCGGTGGCGACTAAGGAGGGATTCTGTTATGTTGGTGAGATTCTATTACCTAAGGGGCTGTTTGGTATGCAGATTTAGCGGGATTTAGCGATGGATTTGGGCAAAATCCAGCCAAACGGTCTAAAATGCAAATCCAAATCTCACGGTATTTGAAATCCGTCGTTGACGGAAAAAGAGCTCCTTTTGCGGTAAATCCCGGATTTCGGAAATCCCCATATTCCGCGGATTTAACTTGTTACTCGCGGGAGGGGTCGCGGATTTACCTGATTTATCGCGGGAGAGGAAGAAGACAGAAGCGGCCGAACGTTTCCAGAACTAAGTAAATTTCAGTATATGATTCAGCACAATGATGTCAATTCTTTTGGTTTTGATTATTGATTTTTATTTTAGGCTACGATAGCATACACAACCGTGTTAGCTCATTACTGCTTATGCTTTTGTTTTCAGGCCCGAGGAGGGGCAAGGAGCTAGCTAAGGGATAGCATGCTCTAATCTGTGTTGTAGGTATATTTTGTTAGTTTTAATTTTTGCAGGCTTGACTTTTATTTTTTATTATGCTCTATATTGCCAAGCAGTAATGTAAATAGATTTCATATTATATATGTTTTGAATGATATATAGAAAAATCATGTTGAAATTCAATAATCTTCGGTTTTATATTGCATTCAATAATAGCTTTGTGTTGCATTGCAATTGAAAGTTTTATTTTAGTACTTCTCCAACCAGATCTTATGGTCAGTCTTGCCACAATCGGATAAAATATGACATGTGTGATATCAAATCATATCGGGTTGGATTATGACACTTGAAGCCTCATAACTTTCTTAAATATGTAGCAAAACTTATAGTTGAACTGAGCGTCTTGGAAATACAAACCCAACGACAACCAAATTCAACTTGATCGAGTCAAAATGGGTCCAAATCAAAGACCCAAAGCACATTGGAAGGTTCAATCCCTAATTTGAATTACCATCCCTAATTTGAATTACCAAATAATTTCCAAATATGACATGCTTATAGTCGAATTGATCGAATCGACGAGACAAATCCAACGAGCCCAAGATCTCCGAATTCCAATATCATTAAGACTTTTAAATGTCTAACGAACGATCCACAATCAAAGGATTCAATATTGGTCGTCCATCCAAACCACTCCACATTTTCCCTTGATCCTCATCCTATTTACGGGTCATGCGATCCTGAAAAAACTATAAATAGCCCCTCATATCTCTTAAGAGGGGACCCAAGCAAGAAGAGGAGAAGAGAAGAAGAGGAGGGAAGAAAATCCTCCTCGACCACCGTCAAAGTTTCGCTCGACTTTCAAGTGACGTCAGAGTTCTGCCCGACTTTCAACTAATGTCGAAATTTCGTCCGACTTCCAAGTGACGCCAGAACTCAGCCCGATCTCCAAGTGATGTTGAAACTCTACCCGATCTCCAAGTGAAGCCGAAACTCCGCACAATCTCCAAGTAATCCCGGAATTCTGTCCGATCTCTAAAAGACTTTAGAGTTTTGCCCAAATACGCCGGAGTTTCCCCGGCCGCCAACTGACGTCGGACTTCTACTCGACCCTGAACCTCCATTCATAGATAGATTTCTACCCGACACCTGGCTTCTACCCGATGTTAGACTTTTGCCAGACATCTATCCAATGCTTGATTTCTATTTATTGCTGGACTTCTACCTGACATGTTAAGAGAGTTGTTATTTGCATGTTTTACATTCTTGTAACTTGTGTAGTTTTGATGATTTCAAATATTATTATTTTATGTGTAATTATCTCCTAACACTTTTTGGAAGAGTTTGTGCTCTTGTGTGTACTAACATTTCAGGAAAGTCAAACTCCAGACTACGAAGACTTCAAATCATATTCAGCATGAGATACTTTGTGTATTTAAAGCTTATATATTTTTTTAATTAAGTTTAAGAGGGAGTGATTGTAATTGAGTGAATAAAAACACTCACTTAAGGAGATCTTGAAAAATTTGTACTGATCGTACGGGACGAACATAATTCGTATGGGACGATCAGGTCATTATCTCCTCGTAAGAGCAATGAAACGAACAAGAAGTGAAAATTTTTTTTCTAAGTTTTGATCGCCCAGGATGAAGTGTATTTGTCCCAGGATGAAGTGTATTCTTCCCAGGACGAAGTGTATTCATCCCAGGACGAATTTTTTTCTGGAAAATTTTCATTCAGACGAAATTTATATTCACTCTTTTCTTTCTTTCTTCTAGATTTCTTGCGAGAAGATCTGTCAAGGAGATTCGATTCTCTGCCGATATTTGGAGAGTGTGAACAGCCGAAGGGTTCTCTGCCCATGCTAGGAGAGTGTGAAAGGACGAAGGATTCTTTGCCCACACTAGGAGAGTATGAAAGGACGAAGGGTTCTCTGCCCACACTAGAAGAGTGTGAAAGGATGAAGGGTTCTCTGCCCACACTAGGAGAGTGTGAAAGGACAAAGGGTTCTCTGCCTATACCAGGAGAGTGTGAAAGGAAGGACGATTCTCTGCCAACACTGGGGATAGTGTAAAAGGACGACGGTTCTCTGCCGCACCGTATTCAAAAATAAAAAGAATGACTTAGGAGAGGTCATTAAAAATATGGCTAGATTAGTTGTTAAGGGGTATAATCTGATTTAAGGGATTGATTTTGAGGAGACTTTTACCCCTGTAGCTAGACTTGAAGAAATTAGAATTTTGCTAGTTTTTGCCTGTTTTAGAGGAATCAAATTGTATGAAATGGATGCAAAAAGTGCATTTTTAAATGTGATAATTCAAGAAGATATTTTTGTAGAACAACCACCAGGTTTTGAAAATTCTAAATACCCAAATCATATTTTCAATTTGAAAAAGGCATTATATGGATTGAAACAGGCACCTAGGGCTTGGTATGAGAGGTTGAGCACCTTCTTACTTGAAAGATCTTTTGAAAAAAGAAGTGTGGATACAACTCTCTTTTTGAAGAAATGTGGAAAGGATATACTCATTGTTCAAATTTATGTGGATGATATCATTTTTGGATCTTCAAATAAAAATCTTTATGATGATTTATCTAAAACAATTAGTAGTGAATTTGAGATGAGTCTAATGTGAGATTTAAGTTACTTTTTAGGATTTAACATTAAGCAAATTGAGGAAGGTATATTTCTTAGTTAGATAAAATATGTTAAGGACATCCTAAAAAAGTATTAAATAGATAATGCTAAACCTATTAGTACACCAATGAGTTCCTCAGTTTAGTTGGATAAGGATTCTAAGGGAAAATCTGTTGATCAAAATAAATTTAGAAGAATAATTGGATCTTTACTTTACTTTATTACTAGCCGACCTGATATCATGTTTAGTGCTTGCTTATGTGCAAGATTTCAATCAAATCCAAAAGAATCATATTTGACAGCAGTGAAAATGATTTTAAGATATCTGTTATGAACTCATAACTTAGGAATTTGGTATCCTAAGTTTAGCTCATCATTTGAAATAATTGGTTATTCAAATTCTGACTTTGTAGGTTGTAGGGTGAATAGAAAGAGCACTTCTATAACATATCATTTTTAATAAATAGAAGGGCTTTTGAACTCAACAGTCACACTTTAAACTTCGCTTTGAATCTCTTTCATATTTTAGATCTTTTTCAAATGGCAAGTTCAAGTAAGAGACAAAAGGTTATGGCTAGGAAACCACGAAGAAATTCTTCTGAGAACTTCCTTTCCAAAGCAAATGAGGAATCTTTTCCTAGGTTTGTCTTAGCAAAGATCACACCCTCCAGAATCCTAATCCAAGAACAACTTACCTTGCAGGTGATGAACTTATTTGCTTCAACACAGTTTGGTTTTATCATTACCCTCGTCTATCTCTACAATAAAGAAACCTTTCACTATTTTCTC